GGCGACTAGTTGTCAGAGATTGTTTTCAGACAACACCTTAGGCAACATCCGATATTTCAAGGGTAAGTTCGGCCATGTGGGTTCGCCGCGGTGCAAAGGACATGAATCTACAGGAACGTGTTTTGCACTTTGCGCTCTGCAATGCACGCGGTGCGAGAATGCGCACAAACCGAGTAAACACCAGCACTGAAGGTATGATCGATTCGTGAATGCCTTCAGTCCCCTCTGCCCCCTCGCCCCAACCCAATGCATCTCCACCCTGTATACTCCTGATCTTACTGTAGTTTCAGTCGCTTGGGCCGCGGCCAACACATGGCAAAGCAAATCCCGAAGCGAAGTGCCTGCAGACCTCGGCAAGTGAGTCTCCATCCTTCTCAAAGATGTCGAGGAATCTAGGAGGTTTACACTGCGCAACTGTGCAATGCAACAAGGAAAAGAAACTCGGTGATTCTTTGGAGGCTTACGTGGGCAAACATGCCCGTGCGTAGGCAAACATGCCCGTGCATACAAGCAACTGCAAAGCCTGCAATCTTGTGGGGGGCCGTGTGGTGACATGTACCCGTACGACTCGAAGCAATGCCTGAAAGAGCTGAAATTGAATAGGAGCCCCAATGGCCCAGGTCCCCAACCGACAGGTATTACTGGGGCGGGTCTCCTCTTCCTGAGACCCCAAACCACAGACTTCATTAATTTCGGTGTCTCTGCGGGAGCCGATCCGGCCCGAGGGCGTCGCTGTCCTGGTGCATGTCCAAGATCGCTGATCTGAGACTCTCCTGAAGGTCACAGGTCTTTCGGGAGGGGTGTCTCGGTTCAATGGATGTTTTGGAGCACCCTCTTGAAAGCACCGTATGCAGCAGTACTCTGTGTCTCAGGATCGAAATATGTACTACGCCTCAGGTGATGGGATTCGCACCCAGCGATTCAGTTTTACAATCCACCATCGAAATCCCTCGGCTTAGGGCTGAAATGTGCCATACGCGACCTGTATCCGCTGATGCCACGGGCGAGCAGGCACGCGGCCCTGCAAACTGGTGGTGATAGTAGTAGAAAGCGCAGTCACGTGAGTGCATGCCCTGCTCCTGCCTGCCGTGCCTGACTCACAAAAAGCACTTCGAGATAGAATACAACATCAGATGTAATCATACAGTATACCAAGATGTTATAGTAAGACATCATAAAACAGTTGTAAAACCGTGTGGAGCGGCCTCGCGCTGCATCAGCCGGATGGCTCTCAGGACATCGCTCTTTCCGCGACGGCCTCCTGCTTTAGTGTGCTTCTTACACATGTGTTCGCAAGGGTGCCAGGACTTCAAACAGTTCCTGCTTCGATTTCAACAGTTCTGGTGCCGCACGAATTTGCAAATGTCCAGCAATTCGCTGTTTTCGAACATTTGCGATGCACCCAACTTCTAAAAGCTATCTTCATTCGCGGAATAACTTGAACAATCGAATCGCTTATCTGTTGGGCCTTGCGATTAGCTCCTTGCGCTGTATAGGAGTCATGTTCTTAGGGGATGCCCTGTTTCATCCGCTCACAGGCTCGAGGCAGTGTTTATAGCGGGGGCGCGCGGGACTTCCCGGCTCTTCCGCCTGGTCGGTCTTTCTCCCGCCGCTTCTTGTGGCGGCGACCTCGCGAGTGGAAGCTCGAAGAACAGAGCTGCTAGGCCGAGGCGACTTGGAGACATGCAGCTGCCACTCGCCACTGTCTTCGAAGCGTGAATCTGCATGACCCTCTTATGATCTTTCATGCAATGCTGTAGCCGTAGAAACGGTCGACGAGAGTTGACAGCTAATGCAGCCGTGTGTCGTCTCAGGTTCGTCTCATCTTCGCCTTCCTGGCAAGAATGGCTCGGCCCCTCGCAGCAAAGGACAGAAACCCCTCTCCGGCATGATGCACCGTTTCCGTGGCAAGCGGGCGTCGACCCTTCAATGGCCCTCCTTTTCCGCAGAGGCTCTCGAAGTTCTCGTGCCGAGCTTTTCTGGTTTCGAGTGGGGTGTATTTAGGAATTCACTCTTCTACCAGGATCCCAGTAGCGCTCTGAGGCTTCAGATCTTGGCTTGCCCACCTCCTCGGACACGTTCATGGCCTCAAGGGCCTCCCGGCTTAGGCGAAGAGCAGTTGGGGAAGGGAGGGCGAGGATGCTCAGGCTTTTGGGACAAGCTCTGCTTCAGAGCTGAAGACTTTAAACTTCCCAACTCAATCCAAGGAAGAGTGAATTGCCGGCTTATGAGATTTCGAGGATGGCCTGCACACGAACAGGTTCGTAGCTGACGAGAGTTTAAGAAGCGAACTCGGGCAATAGTGATCTGCAACCGCGTGAGGGACGAATCTACTCGAAACCATCGAAAGGCCACGTGTGTGCGCCAGGCTGCTGACAGAAGAATGGCTGCTTCCACCTAAACAAAGCTCCTTTAAAGGAAGCCCCCCTTCACGGAAGAGTCCTCAAACAGCCCTTATCATGTTGCGGGTCCGGTGAACACTTCAGGGATCGAGACCTTGGATAAAGACTCTCAACAAGCTCTTGGCTTCGAGAGTTCAGGGTCGACCGGATGCCTTCCTAAATGCGAGCCTAATCTCTTAATGTAGACCCCTGGATGGCACCGTCCTGATTACAAGGGCCCCCCCTGGCCCGGACCGGGCCTCCTGTTCGCTGGAGGGTGGAGGCCGCTGCCTTCAAGAGGAGCTCAGAGTTTCAGTAGAGGTAAGCCAGCAACAGTCCCTAAACCCTAAACTCCCCATCACAACCCTGTCGAAGGTACCTGGAATCGAGAACCGACACCCTGAACCAGCCCTTGCAAACTACAACCCGCAGGGCGGAAGATCCACAGCTGCTACGCCCTCTCAGCCCTGATCCCCACTCCTAAGCCCTCAACAGCCCTCAACTCCTGAAAAGGCTCGAACCGGAAGCCCCTAAACCCCTAAAACCCCCCAAAACCCTAAACCCTAAACCCTAAACCCTAAACCCCTAAAACCCCCCAAAACCCTAAACCTGAGCCCAGCTCGGCTGCCGAGCCTCGGGATGTCAGGGCTTTGCTCCTCCTGGGCCAGGCCCGAATTCCGAAGATGTGGGGGCCACTTCATCCGGGTGCTTGGGCTCAGGGGTTTCGTTTAGGATTTAGGGGTTTTGGGGTTTTGGGGTTTCGGATTTAGGGTTTATTTTAGGGGGTGTAGGGGTTCAGGGTTTGTGGGTTTCGGGCTCCGAATCCCTGAGTGCAACCGGGGCACGGTGGGCTCCGCGACAACTGGCGACGACGAGCCAACAGCCTCAGCACATCACGGCTGACAGATGCTCCAAGATGGCTTCTCTTCCCTGGCAGAAGCGGATGCCCGAAATGCCTACCAACATCACCAACCTGCACGGCAAGAGTGACCAGGAAGCTGAATCGAGCTTATCTCCGTCGCGGCAGTATAAGAATTTCAAGACATGTAGCAGAAGGGGCATGAGCATTGATGGAAAAAGGCGATGAATAGAAATAGTTTAGCGTGGAGAGACTCTCGGAAACTTCCCTGGAACATCTTCAACTGTCTGTAGCTAACCTGCATGTTTGGGCCGACTACACGCGCCTCTCAATCACAATCCAGGGGCGTGCACATGCACGCGACGAGCCGGGCGGCTCCGCGCAAATCATTCAAGAACTTCGAACTTGACACGGAAAGAGCCATCATGTAAAGTTTGTGCATGTTGCGGCAAGCAGGTGCTGTCTGAGCTGTTCACGTGCCCTGAGGTGTTCATGGTGGTGGCAAGCACAGGCGCAGAAGGCGGACGGCCTGGGCGTACCACGACACCCCACCGTGGCACACATTAGCCTTCACGAAGGCGTTCGAAAGGCTGCTTGTATGACTTGCCGACAAAGGAATTTGCTTGACTTGCTCGCCAAAACGACGGGAACCACGAGAAGAACCGCCTGGAGCTAGCTCAAATCATTCGCTTTCATTTGGGTGGCTATCGTTATCGTTCCCAAAAAGTTTACATGCGCCCTTCAGCTTTGGGTTTTTTACACGGCTTTTACGAGGACTTGTTTCAGTCTGTGAGCATTACAGCTTGCGGGGCGGTTTTGGAGTCTTGCGGCATCCTGAGTTTCGAGCCGGCCAGGAAAGTCACCACTGCCTTCAATGAACGGGACCATTTTGCAAGCAAAGGAGCCGTAAGGATCTCAAATTCCGGTTTGTGGACTGTCGTGACCTGGCCTGCGTGAATCGGAACCCCTTTCCAATTCACTACGATCTGCAGTGATCACGTCTCTTATCGTGGCAGGTGAAAAGGCTACAAGTGTAAGTGCAGCTGTTACCACCCATCCACTTCCGTGCCAGTTTCACTTGGCTCTTCTACAAGTATCATTGAAGTTGCAAACCCGCATAGTCTTATGATGATAGCCTGACTATGAGTCGGACCGTATCATGGCCTGGGGCCTCAAGCGGGCGACAGCTTCGTTTCGCACTTGCGTTTGCAAGAAGACAAATCGAGCATCCCAGGATCCAGGCACTTTGTCTCCTGGACCCATGAAGCAGCGCAGCAACTCAGCATCTCGTGGCCGGGATGTGGCAAAACATGCATCACACCCTGACCCTGCTGAAACAGCACAGGCTACGCTGTATCTCCATGTGCAGCCTAAGCCACCAAGGATCAGGCAATGTCTCATGCCCTTCCCGGTGTCCCTCCACTGGCTGAACTTCCGCTTACGCCGCTGCAGGTAGTCCAAGCACTTCTGCTGCTTCGGGAAGTTCCGCCTCTGCCGTTGCTACCGGCACTTCTGCTGCTTCGGCCTCTGCCGTGATGGCTTCCGTCTGTGCCGTTGCTACCGGCACTTCTGGTGCTTAAGCGCTTCTGCTGCCTCAGTCTGGGCAGGAGCACGAAGCGCGAGAAGGACCTTCTGGCGCTTCGTGCTCCTGCGCAACAGTACGACAAGGCATCAGCTGCATATGGCAGACTCTTGATCTGCTGCGCAATTCAGAAATGAAGCCTTGCAGCGCAGAGATAAATGGGTTTAGCACAGCTGGCTCAACACTGACTGCCAAGAGTTTTCGGAGAGAAATACAAGAAGCGATGCACGGAAAGACGCCAGGAACGGGAGATGACGAAGGGTCCCGTGCTGCAATCAGTGAGGACTTGCATGAGATACAAGGCAAGCATCAGGCGCTCCTCCTCCGGCTTCGGCATCATCACCCCCAGACGCTGCAGGACACTATTGGTAACTTGCGTCGTCGCGGATTCCTGACCTGGCTTGCGCACGTCGCAGGCCTCCTGCTGCAGCACGGGCTCGCTGTGCTTCTGAAGCTTGACCCAGCCTTTGCTGGGTATCGTGATACGGGCGGACTTGCTGCGCTCCGCTACGAGGACCCTGTGGCCCTCGTTCAGCGTGCGCACCACTGCCGCGTCCGAAGACTTGCCGTCGCGCACCTTTATTCCGTCGAAACGGATGTCGCCCAACCAAGGCCGACTTGCGGAGGGCTCGCAGCTTCCTGCCAACTTTTTGGGGAGGGCCGGGGGGAGGTCAGCTTCATGCAAGCGGATTCAGCAAGTTTGTTGCAGCCCTGGTTCTGGCCGTTGCCTGCTTGCTCTCGCCGGCGCTGCGCCCCTTTGCTGCCAACTCCTACCACGCAGTAGCAAGGTTTGTAGCTTCAACTTCCTGCACGCACGAATCTCGCAGGAGAGGCGAAAGAGCTTCGGGCTCCTCCAGTCGCAGCTTCTGTTGCAGCTGCTGGCATCCGCCAACCATCCGCCGGCCCAGGAGCCGCGGATCATTGGGATCAGCACAAATATGCGACGCCATGGGGCGACACAGAAAATACCTGTGTTAATGTTACTTCACCGTATTCCAAAATCATCGGAAGATGATTTTGTGGACAAGCCCTCTATATACCAGAGAATATTCGGCGAAGGCCATTGTCTAGTGACTTCTTTCTCGCATCCAGACTTGAGATCGCAGGAGGCTTTCACGCCAAGACTGTGGTTTCAGCTGCCCCATGCAGCGGCACGATCCAAGACGCCGAGACCTGAAATCTTAGAGTCTTAGAGGGTAGATATCGGTCAACACTTGGAGCCTCCTCCCGGGGAGCCAGGGGAGGTGGAGGCGCGGGAGGCGGCGGAGGTGGCATAGCCTCACAGAGCAGCTTTTCTAGGGCCTGGGGTTTGCGTTCATGTTCTCCCTGAAGGCCTGGTGCTGGGCTTCAAAGTTCAAGGGGGGCTGCAGTATCATGAGGGTTTGGTAACGGTATTTAGGGTGCTCAGCCTAGCATCAGGGCCCGAGAATTGCAGCCGAAACTACAACAGAACCATGGGCCTTAAACACCCTCAACCCTAAAACCAAAGCTCTAAACTAAACTCTAAACCCGAAAAATGATAAGCCTGGCCATCCCAGACGTCAGGCCCGAACTCCTGGAAGCAATTGCACTTGGAAGCATTCTGAAATTTCTTGAAACCCAAAATCCCAACCGAAAAAACCCGGCAAAGCAAAACAATCCGGGCCTGGACATGGAAGCTGCCGCTGACCATGCTGTGAGGCCAATCCTAGATTGGGGCTTCTAGGACGCTTTGGGGAGGCTGGCGATTTGGGCTTGAGATTTTGGCTGGACTTTTGGGTGATTTTCCGGGTTGAGGTTGGGTGTTGAGGATTTGAGGGCTAAGTTTGGTGCCCTATAGAGGGTTTAAAGCTCTAGGGCTTCCCGCAAAGGGCACCTCCTCTTCTTCTTCAAGTCTCTTCTCAAGGCGGAGACAGTCGGAATCCGAGACGATTGCAGAGCGAGCCCATGCAAAGTTTCGAGTTGACGGATGCTGCAAGCCTGAGAACCCAAGATGCTATGCTGGCACACCATGGCCTGCATCATCATGCACTCGTCCATGTGCATCATGTGGCCCGGCATGGTGTCGCCCTCCAGGTCGAAAGCTTAATTTTTCAGTTTCTGGACCATGCAGGCACGCTTCAGGCTCGGAGTTCTGTGCTCTGCCTTATACCCCGAACCAGATGGAATCATCTGTCACTTCCCTAAAACAAGCATCTGCCATCGCCACACCAAGGAAGCCCCAGCTCAAACTGACGGGCACCTGGAGCATGCAGGCATCCTTGGGATGCGAGGGAAAAAGCTGCGGCTTCTTCTTCTTCGTCACACCTACATGCACCTCCATCAGAACGAAGCCGCACTAGCGCCCCATAGAGAAGCAAAACTCTGTACGTTGGGCAGCTAAAGCTCCACCAAGCAATCATCCCACAGATGTTTGGAGTCGGTGCCCACAACTGCAACACACACACACACACACTGGCACAAGAATCGGTTTGAAGCAGTCTCCCATCTCCCATGAGGTCCTCTGGCATCAGCGCCCCGTGATGTACGGCCATACCATCGTCGGCAAAGGCCATCCCATCCGCCTGCCAACGCATGGCAGATTGATTGCAAAAGTACAACTAAGTCTGCTTTCGCACTTCCCGAAACGGGCCCTTGCTGTGCTGTGCAATAGCCGCTGGAAGGAAGCTTCATCTGTACGCCCGCACATCAGCCTGGAGCATGCGGCCGTCCTGAAGGTGTCGGAGCTGCGACATGTGATTTTGTCGAGCATCCGCTGCTAGTTTTCGCAACATGTCGCAACACGCTGGAATTATCGTAGCTCTGCTCTTGTTTCGCATACCGCCACAAAGACGCACGCTGTCAAAGAGAGGAGAGAACTCTTGAATCCTTCGACTCGACTTCGGCGCCGCACAATGGTTTCACTAAAGCTTGCTCGCGAAGGTGTCCCGAGCGCACAATGCCTTGACATACATCGGGCATATGTAGACAATGCGAGTTCTTGACAGGGAAAACTGCACGCCGAATGTTTCTTCGGATACCCACAACAGCTTGAATCAACCGGACAGCCGTCCAAGATCAAGGTGAGATTAAAGACGAACAGGATCAAGAGGGGGATCAAGAGGATGATGCGAATAATCACTAAGTTGCAACCATCATGATGATGGCGATGACGATGATGATGATGATGATGACGATGGCGGTTGATGACGGGTGATGACGGGTGATGATGATGATGATGATGATGATGACGACGGTTGATGACGGGTGATGATGATGATGATGATGATGATGATGATGGCGATGCTGAGGCTGATGATGACGGTTCTGACGGTGATGGGGGGGTCGATGATGATCATGACGACGACGATGACGATGAAGAAGAATAGGACGATGATGGTGATGGGGGGGGGTCGATGATTATCAAGTTGATGATGAAGGAGAAGATGAAGATGAATAACATGATGATGATCATCATTATGATCATGATCATGATGGTGATCATGATGATGATGAAGAAAGAAGAAAAAGATGATGATTATGATGATGATGAGGATGATGATGATGATGATGATGGGGTTGATGACGATCCTGATGACGATGATGAAGAATAAGAGGATGATGATGATGATGGTGGTGAGGAGGAGGAGGGGAGGAGGAGGAGGAGGCCGACGGATGACGACGCCCCCAACTAGCGTTTCATCGATGCTCATGAATGCTATGCCGACTGCCACTAAAAGCACGACTCTGCGACTACTGCTTCTGATACTGCTACGCTGCTACTGCCACGCTGCTACTACGGCTGCTGCGGCTGCTGCTGCTTCTGCCGCCGTCGCCGCTGCCGCTGCTGCCGCTGCTGCTGCTGCGCGGCTACTGCTACGTGGCTGGTGCTACACTGCGACGGCTTACGCTGCTACGGCTTGCTGCTCCAGCAGTCACACTCGGTCATTGTCACGACCGCTCTCATTATCAGCAGCATCATCGTCGAGATCATACATGTTGGCACATAGCACTTTTCGTAGGAGTCTCACACCCGATGCCCAGAACCCTGAAACTCTGAGCCCTACACGCCTCGCAACACCCCGCAAGCCCGTGAGTCCTCGGACAGCATCGAACCATGGCCAGCCATGGCATCCTGAAGCCGACGAGTCGGAGCCAAGGAACTTGGGGCCGAGGGCTTACGTAAACTCCCTCACTGCAACTCCCCCACCTATTCAATTCCCAACCACTGAAGCCCTCAAATCTCAAACTCCCCCTCTAAAGTCAGGCTCCGGGCCATGCAGACGCCTTCCATCTCCATGAGGTGCACGTGCCTTCAGAGCGTCTTCGGCTTTCCCTCCCGAAGCCTGGGTCCTAAAAGCAGGAGCCCGGTAAGACTTCCGAAGGATTCTTCGAGTCAGCGAGATATCGCCAGAACACGTCAGGGGCGAAAACATTGAGGCTAGAGCAGCTTTCTGCCTGAAGCCCTTCCTCGCTGCCTTCCTGACATTGCAACTTTTTGCCCCCTGGGAGTTCTTAGGATCCTGAAACCAGGCCGACACAAGGCCCTTGGAGGTTCCGCATGCCAGGAAACTGACTGAAAGAACACAGAACTTCGGCACTGGCTCTGAGAGCCAGGCGAGTTCGGCATCGCCGGGTACGCAGGGTAAAAGGCCTGCCACAGCAGAGGCTGCTTGGTTTCGTAGCAGTGCTCCCAGCACGAGAGCAGCCCTACCAGCGCTCGGTTCTCGCATGGCCTCAGGCTGGTAAGCCTCCTCTGTCCACTCAAGCTCTGCGACGAGTGGATGGACCTGGCGCAGACTTCTTGGCAGACACTGTGAGAGTATCGTGCACAAGCAGAGGAGCAAGGGTACAAGGTCGTAAGGAGAGCCATCTCCCTGTTTGCCTCGCCTCCACGGCACGAAAGCTTGTCCGCTTTTATTTTCCAGAGAGGCAGTGCAGAAGACAAACTGCAAACTGCTCATACAGCCGGCATCTTTCACAGATGCTGAGGTTTGCCACAGAAAGTTGTGCCTCCGACCAGGGCACCGACCAGGCATCGCCTGCAGGCAGACCTCGATTGTCAGAGGTTGAGTTCAAGAATTGGGTGTTCGGTGCCATGGGCAGGTGCCTGCACCTGGACACCCGAAGCTTCAAGGCCACGTACTGAAGCAAGGCCTACATCCCCTCTCGCTACGGCCCCCTCTATCGCCGGCATCCTGTGCTCTCGGCCTGAACCCTGAAGCCCGACGTCGCAGAGGCTACGGGCTTCGGAATGGTGGGATATTCTGCTTCGGGTGATCCTACGGCGGCAAATTCCTAGACCCTGTAGAGTAAGGCCACGCACATTGGCCTGCCCATGCGTCGGCAGAAGGCTGTTGCCTTCAGCTGAACAGAAACCCAAAGCGCATCTCCAACTGCGCACCCCTGGTCTCGACAAAACTCTTTGGAAAGCTGGTGTACAACAGGGAGAGGCCGCCCGCCTGTCTTGCCTGTGCGCCCAGTTGCTTGAAAACTCGCCTTCCAGAACGAATGAGATGCGGCAGTCCCAGAGCAGAGTGCTTGAGGGTTGGGGCAAGGCCGTGTCTGCAGTCAGAAATTCTCGCCACAGCGCATGACGCGATTGCGGAGCCTCGTCTAAGATTTGAGAATATGCCAAGGACAGCAAGGCTGCCAAGATAATTGAGTCGTGACGCTACCTCTCTGACGGCGGCCTTTGTCAACTGGACGAGGTGCTGTGTCCCTGACATGGGACGACATGCTTCAGCATTGCTTCAGCCGGATGCAGTCGGCTTGGAGCACTGGCTGTCACTGGAATACCGTGGCATTGAACGATTCAGCTTTGGTGGGGAGCACTAAGGTCAGAGGGCTTCACTGCCACAGGAAGTGTTGTGTCCAAGAAGGTACGTCAAAACGGTCTGACAACTTGGCTGCCCTCTGACGCCTGA